CCATCCCTTGTTCCTTGGGAGCAGAGACCAGCCCCCTCCTGGCTCCATCCTCCTGTCAGGCAGTTGCAGAGAGCGATCAGGTCCCCCCTGAGCCTTCTCTTCTTCAGACTAAACCCTCCAGGTCCCTCAGCCCTTCCCCATCACACTTGTGCTCCAGGCCCTGCACCAGCTCCGGTGCCCTTCTCTGGCCCCACTCCAGCACCTCAATGTCTCTCTTGCAGTGAGGGGCCCAGAACCAACACAGGATTCCGAGGTGCAGCCTCACCAGTGCCCAGCACAGGGAGCACTGAGGACAGGCTGACAGGCCTGGAGTTGCCCAGATCCTCCTTCCAGCACTTCTTGTAGATGGGCATCACATTTGGTAATCTCCATTCAACTGGCACCTCCCTGGTGAGCCAGAACTGCTGATCAGTGATGGAACGTGGCTCGGTGAGCACCTCCAGCTCCCTCAGCACCCTTGGGTGGATCCCATCCGGCCCCACACTGTGTGTCTGTCAGTGGCATAGGAGGTCACTGACCATCTTCCTTCGGATTCTGGGGGCTTCATTCTGCTCCCCATCCCTGTCTTCCAGCTCAGGGGGACAGGTATCCCAACAACAACTGGTCTTACTATTAAAGACAGAGGGAAAAGTGGCATCAAGTACCTCAGCCTTTTCCTCATCCTTTGTCACTGTTTCCCTCCACATCCAATAAAGGTTGGAAATTGTCCTTTTGTTGCTAATGTATTTATAGAAACATTTTTAATTGTCTTTTACAGCAGTAGCTGTAATGTTTTGTATGTGTAATAATGTCATCTATGCAGTTATTTCTACTCCTTATTTACTCAAGGGCCAGCACCTTACCACGAATACCCATGAATATATGAACTAAGCACCAGCAGAAGAGTAATGCTTCCAGTGGAGCATTTCATGCTAATCTCTCCACACTGCTCCACCACACTCACATGGGATCAGAGAGCACAGCCATAGGGACCTAAGGCATCTCCCAACCAGAGCTGGGTTTTTCCCTGCAACGTGCTTCTACTCTGTGCCACTCGGCACACGACAAATCGCTTCGTTCAGAGAAGAGCAGAACTTGGCACGGTGGGATGTGGTGCATCCCCCCATCCCTTTTTGGTTTTCAATTTAATTAAAAACACCCAAAGAAACAGAAAGACTGAAGAGAGAAGAGACACATTCTGACATTGTTGTGCACTGCACAGCACCAAGCGCTTTTTGTTCTGCAGGTTTATGACTTAAGGCAAAGCACATTACTGACCATGTCCCCATGGTGGCAGCAACCTCTGCCCCCCACACCAGGATGTGAGCAGGCAAATGCATAGAATCTCCTCGCTCCACAGCAAAGTCCCTCTACAGTTTTATCCTCCCCCATATCTCAGCATTCCTATATCCAACTGTGATAATATTTCATCAGCCAAGCTGCTGAAATACTTCAAACTTGGTATCCAACATAGCAAAGCAGTGCTGTGACTCCATCGAGAGCCAGCCCGCTGCCTGCTCCTGCGGGATCGCTCGTGAGGGTTTGGCAAAACCAGGCATTCCCTGTAGTTTGGAAGAATCTCCCAGTTTGTTTTGGAACAGCTTGATTAAAGATGACATGAAATGACAGCATCAGCCTGGTTCCTAGTTGCGCTGTGTAATAAACCAGCCCCTTAAGGAGCTGCCAGGGATTGAACAGTTTTATGTACTAAAGCTGTGTTTTTCCTTCCTTCAGGCAATAACAAGTTAATGGAAATCCTTCATCAAGTTGTACCATCACAATAATGCAAACAAAACAAGTGAGTAAACAGCTATCTGGGTGTGTAAAACGTTCTATCTGGTGAGGCTGACAACAGACTCAAAAAGCTCTAAAGATACTTCAAAGAGAAGAGAATCGCAGTGTTTAACACACTCATGCAACCCAGTGACATGCAAAGAGACAGACAGGGGTGAACAGGAG